GGCGGGCAGATCACAAGTTCGGGAGATCGAGACGATCCTGGCTAACACGGTGAAAACCCGTCTCTACTAAAAATACAAAAAGTAGCCGGGCGCGGTGGCGGGCGCCTGTAGTCCCAGCTACTCCGGAGGCTGAGGCAGGAGAATGGCGTGAACCCGGGAGGCGGAGCTTGCAGTGAGCCGAGATCACGCCACTGCACTCCAGCCTGGGCGGCAGAGCGAGACTCCGTCTCAAAAAAAAAAAAAAAAAAAAAACCCACAGATTTTTGTGTATCATGTTAATGCCCAGCAGAGATATAACTTTACAACCAGGTGGACAGGATGACTTGGCCTTCAGATATCCACCTGACTCTTTTCTGGCCATCTCTCCTTTGGCAGAGATGGAAGCAATGCATGGGTCCACAATATGGACTTTCCGTCAATGTGGCTGATTGAGCACATCACTTCTAAGTATCCAACCAGTCAGTTTCCGAAATAAAACCTCCACGCTGGGTATGGCACCATTTCTTAGGTTGCTGGGAGAGTAGATAACAAGCTGCAGGTTAAATGCTAGCATCCAGATTTTGCTGTTTCAGGATCCTGTGATCTGCAGTGATATGGGACAGCACAGTTCAGTGGTAGTATCCACTGATGCGAAACAGCGGAGTGGATCTACTGTTAACTCTCACCCAGAGAGCAGAGCCACCACTAAGCTTCTCAGAGTTGTCTGTACCTACTCATCAGTGCATCCTACTTCCTGAGTAAAGGAAGTTCCCCTGAATTCTCCCAGGGATGGTAGTCAAACACTGGGTTCTTGGGACTAATTCAATATAGTAACCCTAAACTCCTTCACATCTTTATAAACATTCTAAACCAATTTTGTACACTACCACATAAGACTCTGTTTTCCCACTACTTTTACTTTAGTATATCGTCAAGGTCAGACTTCTAAGGAACAGCAAATCTATTTAGACCAGCTCTAGGTGTCACTCTTACAATGTTGCATTGTGGTTCCTGGTGAGTGATCTCATGTCAGTGAATTTTCTCCTGTCAAGCTTAATATTGTTTCACCCCTCTCCAAGGTCACTCTAACACTCCCTATTAAATGTCTTCACCCACCTTGGTCCCCAGGGTCTTGACAACACTTATTAATCAAGTATGTACATGTAGTATTGTGTGTTGTCATAATTTCCTGTGCCTGAGACCTAACCTTGATTTGTCAGCAGTTTGGCCAAAATTAAGCCTTGGATCTCAACTTGAAAGACATCTTTCGTCAAAGGTCCACAAGGGCTGTGGCGATGGTACCATGGTCTAGGAGGTAGACACTTGTCTTCGGAAAGAAACAGTAATTAGAGTAACCTGAGAAGAACCAAAATGTTTGTACCTACTCCACAAATACTTATTTCAGGGCAACAAAGCCTTTAAGGTTATAAATTCCCCGACAAGTTTTTACTTCTTTCTGTCCTATGATGTATGAATTTCTAAATCTTTTGATCTGAAAAGGACCTTAGCTCTATAAATTAACATATCTGTGACAATGACCCTTGCTAACACAGCGTGATACATGAAAATGAAGAAGGGCAGATTTTTCATCAGATCAACTACAGAATATATATACTCTTGGGGAAGGAATTTGCTTAAGGCCTAAGTTTTATTACAAAATATGCATAATACTATGTAAGCTACTGAATTGTTGTAAAAAACGCCTTTAAATTAAATGCACGTAATTCTATTAAATAAATCAAGAACTTTCATAGATTGATAAACTAAGCTCTGTAACCTATTAACTGTATGAATATAAGTACCCATTTCATTCAAAAGAACTATGTAAAATAAAGGTAAACCACAAACTATGGCATGGTCGTTTAATAAATTCACATAAGCAGAGTATATTTGGCAAGGCAAACTGGATAGCTGTCCACCAGTAGGTTAGGGTGAGTGCAATGTTGTACAATAAATGAAAGGTTCTGTGTGAAGGAGAGTGAACAGGATGCAACAACCAAAAAGGCAAACCGCATGTTTGAAAACACAGCTGTGGTTCATAGTCATTTCATGTCTACTAAACAGATTTCCTTCTCTTTCCAAATACATTATTGATCAATTTGGCCATTGATTTAGATCCACTGGGTCGTCTCTTTTCTTTGAGTTTGAAGTTTATCAGGATGTCCTTGATAATTCTGATAAACATCATTTCCACCTCCAGAGACTGCTCTGCTGCAGACAGTTCACAGAATTGGCATCGGTTATCCAGTGCCAGCTTTTGCCCTTCTTCCCAGCCAACCTCTCGCACATGACAAAGATCTCGTTTGTTGCCAACCAAAAACATTGCCGATTCCACAGCTCTGAAAGAGAGATACACAATTTTTAGCAAGACTGTTTTAACAACTTTTTTAAAAAAACAGATTTATAGCCAAAGGATTATAAATCAAAGAAAAAATAGTGTGTATGTGTGTTACTTATGGTCATGTGTGTGTATTGTTACACATAGCTCCAATTACTTAAAATCATTTTAGATAAAATGTAAATAGCACAGAAGCAACAAGGCTCTTAAAGCACAGGATTTGAAGTAACAGGGACCTATTACTGAATTCTGGTGCTGTCTACTAACCAAAGTACGATTGTTATCTTTCCCACTTTCAGTTTCCTTTAATGTAAAAATGTGGTACATATTCATTATGGAATATTATGCAGCCATAAAAAAGAATGAGAGCGGGCATGTGCAGTGGTTCATGCCTGTAATCCGAGCACTCTGGGAGGCTGAGGCAGGCTGATCACGAGGTCAGGAGATTGAGACCATCCTGGCTAATACAGTGAAACCCCACCTCTACTAAAAATACAAAAAATTAGCCAGGCGTGGTGGTGGGCGCCTGTAGTCCCAGCTACTCGGGAGGCTGAGGCAGGAGAATCGCTTGAACCTGGAAGGTGGAGGTTGCAGTGAGCCAAGATCATGCCACTGCTCTCCAGTCTGGGTGACAGAGTGAGACTCTTGTCTCAAAAAATAAGAACATGTCCTTTGCAGGGACATGGATGGAGCTGGAGGCCCTTATCTCTAGTAAACTGACATGATAACAAAAAATCAAATACTGCATGTCCTCACTCATACGTGAGACCTAAATGATGAGAACATATGGAGACACAGAGGGGAATAACACCTAATGCTGCCTATTGGAAGGTCGAGGGTGGGAGGAGGAAGAGGATCAGGAAAAATTAATGGGTTCTAGGCTTCATACCTGGGTGATGAAATAATCTGTACAACAAACCTCCATGACACAAGTTTACCTGTGTAAAAAACCTGCACATCTACCCCGAACCTAAATTCAAAGTTTCAAAAATGGTAAAATAATCCTCACACAGAATTCTCAGAGATTAAAGCTCATGGAGACTGTATACATTAAATGATGTATATAAAAATACCTAACACAGGCCCAGGCAATGAAAGATGCTGACTAAGTGTTATTTTTCATGTTCCTTATCAATTGCAAGGGAAGAGCTAGCAAAGGTCTCTTTACTTATACAGTTATTATAATTGAACAGTCAATTTAGATAAAATTTTCATAAGCAAAAATATTCAATATTTATTGCTGTTTCGCTCCACTAATAGTCATTATAACATGCTCTAGAGAAAATTGTATAATCTCATGAACTTGCCCAATTCTCCTGTTTAAGAAATGTGTCTTTGTTAAGATAAAATGTGTCTGCAAACATCAATATATCCTCCTTGGTTATAATGAAACAACACAAAAATAGAGTTTGAGTTGAAGAATATGTTAAAATCACTAGGCTTTAAAAGGCATAGAACACTGCAAAGATATCTACTATAAGGAAAAAAAATGGGTGCACACAGTCAGTCTTCAACTCTTACTAGCCCCAATTCCACTAAAAGTTGGTTTCATTCAAATGACAATGTGCGGTGAACTTTTAAAAATGCTACTAAGGTCTTTTTTTAGTCTAGTTTATAAAATTATTGAAAAGGGTAAATGAGGAAGGATATATACATAGGTTTTCAAGGGTAGGCCACAAATATCAGATATAATTTAATGAAATAATGATATATTTTGCCTTCCTAGTCTTTTTACAGATTGAGAACTAAAAACATTCAAATAATTATTTAGTCAATAAATTAGAAATATTTCCTGAAAAATGTCCAATACAAATGTTTATACTTTCAATATGTTTTTAAGTGTTCTTGAGTGATTACTTTGAAGAAATGTCAGAATTTTATTCCTGTCCCTTACCTACATCATGATGCTTAAATATAAGATATTTAATGATTGAAACAACGGAGTTCTAAAATATCAGTAATATTATAGGAAATAAGAGCTATGAGGCACCTTAGTAAAATCTCATCTGTTTCTCCTATCCTGCTGCCACCAGTTAAATAATTAGAAAAATGAGCTCTAGAGATTAAAGTGGCTTACTCAGGCCAAATCAAAGGAAAGCAAGAATGTACATCATCTAACTCCAGGGAAATACTTTATCAATTATTATCCCATGATTTCTTTATAGTGGGCATTTAAAATAGATACTAAAAGTACATATACCAATTCTCAGTAATATTGTGCTTTTTTTACTTACCAGATTAGAATACTATTTAGATTCTAAGGGCTAAATTGGTTAAAAGCACGAAGACTCTTTTACAGTCAGAACGTTGAGCAAAAATACTTTAAATGGAAAAGGCCAAAATGACTGAAAAATGGGGAAAACTTAAATTGGAAACTCAGATGCTTAAACTTTTATCTACTAATGAAACAATAGCTTAAGGCACAATCATGTTTTCATAGTTCCTTGTGTCAAGACAAGAATAAGGAATTGTTGATCAGCCCTTTAGCAGGTAAAATGGAGAAAAATGTATTCTCATATTTAGAATTTGTAAACAGTTTGATTATTCTGTCTATTTTGCTTTGATAGATTGAACAACTCAGTGACTAGGAATTGGATTTCACGGGATGCCAAACGTAATAAATCTGAATTTATTTAGTATCCTTAACATTTTTGTGAGAATGGAAAGAAAAGGTTGGAAAGAGAACTATCTTATATACGAAGGACCATTATTTTGCAAGTGAGTGTCATGTTAACAATAGAAGCTGTCTTGTAAAATAGCCATTTACTCAGGGCGAGTAACTGTTTATGGCAGCCAAGATATAAAGCATTCTCATCTTATTCCTTTTACTACATGTGTAACTCCTGTGGAATGGGAAGGTGAATTGTTCAGGGCTGTTAAATTTTGTAATTGGAAGGCTGTATTAAACCCTTCCTAATGATGCTTACGGCTATATGATGATTTACTAAAAAGAAAGGAGAAAGGAATGAAAAATACCTTCCTTACCTTTTACAATGACTGGTCTGTGGCTCCCGGATTCTGTAGATCAGTGCTTTCGCGAAAGCAAATGAAGACCTATCGCTGATGTCATACACAATAATAAACCCATCTGCCCAGTGAAGCTCACTTGTGAGGGAGAATTTTGCTTTCTGTGTCTGAAAATAAACCAAGTACATTAAGAGTGGTTGGGATCTAATACCTGTGTTTTCATACTTTAAACAGTCAACTAATGGAGACCCATTTCAGCTGGAAGATACATCAATATGTTAAATACTGATATTTTCTTTCTTTTTTTTTTTTTTTTTTGAGACAGAGTCTCACTCTGTCACTCAGGCTGGAGTGCAGTGGCCGGATCTCAGCTCACTGCAAGCTCCGCCTCCCGGGTTCACGCCATTCTCCTGCCTCAGCCTCCCGAGTAGCTGGGACTACAGGCGCCCGCCACCTCGCCCAGCTAGTTTTTTGTATTTTTTAGTAGAGACGGGGTTTCACCGTGTTAGCCAGGATTGTCTCGATCTCCTGACCTCGTGATCCACCCGTCTCGGCCTCCCAAAGTGCTGGGATTACAGGCTTGAGCCACTGCGCCCGGCCAATACTGATATTTTCTAAAATATAGTTCTTTATTACTCTTTGTCCTTAATTAAAAGTGATTAAATGTAAAACAGAACTATAATAAAGTTATATCTGTCTAATTTTATAACTTTTCTAGAAGAAAACATCTCCACTTTTTCAGAAAATTTGATGAGCTACAATAATTGTCTTTTGAACTAATACCCACATATTTGTTGTGAATATATATCATTTATCTGTTAGTGAATGGAATATCTATTGATTTCTGGTACTAGATTTAAATCAATAAAAATCAAAAATATTATAAAGGTTTAGCTAAAATATTTAAGGTATATTTTTATTTACCCTAAATGATCTGTCTCATATAGTTGTTTTGAAATCCTGAATAAATGGCCATTTTTCTCTTATTTGTATAATCCCATTTTAACTGTTTTCCCATATGAATAGAAAAGGAGGTTTGTACTGAAAATCTATTTTATGTATTATGTTCTATTGACAACTGGTTAGTTATAAGTGCAACTTAGTTGAAAATAAAAAGTGAATTGTTAAGCCACTTAACTATTATCTTCTGGAAGTGACACTGTGACCTGATAGAAATATAGAAACAGCCTAATGTTGCAATTTTAAAGATATTTGTGATATAATTTTTGACATGAACTTAGAGATGACAGGTAATGGAATTGACAACACAATAAAATAATCTCTTAAATTTTTAATAATTAAAATGAGAAGAAACTTTGGTTTTAACACTGCAACTTTTCACTTTTTTCACTTACCGCCATATAATCTTCAAAATCATGATTGTTAAAAAATCAGTCAATCAATAAATCGATAAAAAATGTGTTTTGTTTTACTTACTTGAGAACAAGGGTCATATATTTCCAGATTTAGTTGTTTCCTTTCCAAACACAAGTGCTTGTTATAGACAGATTCTGCAAAAATATTGCATATTCACTGTCAGTATGAAAATACTCTGAATGTGAACTCATATCTGAATCATAGTCTGATAAATTCAACCACTCACATTTTAGTGGAATCGTATTGTGCCCTTTTTATATTGCTGGTGACCGAAAGCATGTATTTGTTGTATTTACTCAGATATGGTTTTTTGGGGGGTTTTTTTTGTGTTTTGTGTTTTGTTTTTTGTTTTTTTTTTGGAGGCAGAGTCTTGCTCTGTCACCCAGGCTGGAGTGCAGTGGGGCAATCTCGGGTCACTGCAAGTTCTGCCTCCCTAGTTCATGCCATTCTCCTGCCTCAGCCTCCCGAGTAGCTGGGACCACAGGACCATAGTGTGGCAGTATGCCCAACTGAATTTTTTTTATTTTTTTTATTTTTTTTTATTTTTGTAGAGACGGGGTTTCACCGTGTTAGCCAGGATGGTCTCAATCTCTTGACATCGTGATCCGCCCACCTCGGCCTCCCAAAGTGCTGGGACTACACGCGTGAGCCACTGCGCCTGGCCGATATGTTTCTTACAAATGAATCTCACCACTATCTATATTCACCTACATACCTTTTTGCTCATATATTTATATTCCATCCTATTACTGTGCGTGGAACATCTGTGTTCCTATCTAAAGTAAACCCATTCACTCTCAGCTAGTGATTTCTCCTCACCCGCTGAGATACATGGCTTCAGCAATTCTACTTCCCTCTTATATCATAATTTTTTCCTCTTTACCATATAATTAGCCACATCTTACAAACATGAAAAATTTCTTCTAGCTTAAATGTATTATGGCTTAATGGTTAATTCTCTATCTTGATTTTATTTGCCTTATTGGTAGCATTAACGCAGTTGATCATTCCTGCCTCCTTAAAGTATTTCCTTTACATGACCTTCAAGGCAACACTGTCTCCAGTTTTTGTTTGGTTTTTAATTCCTTGTTGTTCTGTCTTAATCTTTTTTGTTCACCTCTCCCTGTCCCCACTGACTTCTCGCATCTCAAACATGGATCCAGTTCATAGATTTCTTCTCTTCTTACATTCTTTTTCAGATCTCTTCTAGTCCCAAGCTGTCACATGCCAATTAATTCTGATGAACCCAACTTATGTCTGAAGCCCAGACCTCATCCCTGAACTCCGGACACAAATAGCTTACTATTGGACATCTCCATTTAGATACTTGATAGATATCTCAATCTCTTTTTTTTTTTTTTTTTTGAGACGGAGTCTCGCTCTGTCGCCCAGGCTGGAGTGCAGTGGCCGGATCTCAGCTCACTACAAGCTCCGCCTCTCGGGTTCACGCCATTCTCCTGCCTCAGCCTCCACAGTAGCTGGGACTACAGGCGCCCTCCACCTCGCCCGGCTAGTTTTTGGTATTTTTCAGTAGAGACGGGGTTTCACCGTGCTAGCCAGGATGGTCTTGATCTCCTGACCTCGTGATCCGCCCGTCTCGGCCTCCCAAAGTGCTGGGATTACATGATATCTCAATCTTAACACACCTCAAGCTGAACCCCTGATATCCCTGCAAAGGCTGCATCTTCTACAATTTTCCATTTTGTTAAATGGCATATCCATAACTGCAGTTTCTCAGGTAAAAACAAAAACAAAAACAAAAACAACAAAAAAAGGATTATCCTTGATTATTTGTCTTACGTCACATATTTATTCTAAAATTTATTCTAAAATTCTTTTAGTCTACGTTCAAAATATATTTTGAATTTGTCTGTATCTCACTATCTCCATTGTTAACAATCTAGTCTAGACCACCATCATTAATTGCCTAATTTATCACAAAGCCTCCTAAGTCATCTGTTTCCATCCTTCCTCTAACACCCTTCCTGTTTCTAGTGTATTCTCAACACACAAGTAAAAGTGAACCTTGTAGCCAGATCACATCAATTATCTGATCAAATTCTCTTAGAGGATTAGGATTGACTTCTTACCTCCTACCAGGTTATATTTAATGAAATTTGTTACAGTTTCATGAAACCTTAAATTATGTTTTCAGCCAGGTTCTTCTAAACTTTATAGGTTTATTCTTGACTCCAAACCACATTATTTTCTTCTAGTCAATTAAAATTATTCACTCTCAAATCTCAAAAACTGCCAGCAAGTGTCATCAATTCTCACATTTTTAGAATTGTATTATTTCCCCTTCTAGTTTTAATATACAAAGTGGAGTCATTTTTGCTAGTTTGCCCTCTGAGTTAATGAGCTTTTGATCATTTGGTTGGCTTTTCAAAAATGCCTCTAGGTCTCTTATTTTTCATTGAGATGTAACAGCCAGAAATGTGTAAACATTTCATTAGTTTATACAACTATACTATATCAAAGTTTACGTTGAGGGTTTTTGTTGTTATTTGGATGGTGTATCATTCTGTATTTGTTTTATTTTTTAGTTCTGGGACATTTTCTCATGCCCGAGTCCTAACTTGTATGTTATGTTGACGTTTTTGACTGATGTCATTGCCCTCAAAAATGAAACAACAGGAATTTTTCTTTTTATGTTTTCAACTTTATATAATCAGTTTTCAGGCTTTTGCCCTAAAATGTTCATAATGTCATATGGACTGAAATACCATGTTGAATTCATGTAGGGAAAAACACAATGTAATATATTAAAGCTATTTTCTGAGATACTCCGATTATGCTACTTCATGATTGAATGCTAAAGATTTTTGTTTGTTTCTCATGGAAAAACACACTTACAATCATAAATTCCCTTAGTCTAAGTAATAACCAACAAAAACATTCTCCTTTCTCCCAATTTTTATATTTTCTGTAATCTGCCATCCTCATTTAAAAAAAAAAAAAAATCTCCTCATCTCATTTATTCAATGAGGTAAGATATTATCACCATCATTTTTAATTGGTGAGCCAAAAATATGCTCAAAATTATGGCAAAATTTCTCACTTTTTATGTTGCACTGTTTTCCACATATTATGCTAATTCTAGTCAAACAAATTTACAGAAGAGTTCATGAAATAATCTTAAAATTATAACAAAATGCCCTGGCATGTGTTTTAAATGTTTCTACATTTATATAAATGACTTAGATAATATGATGTTTAATCAAGGCATAATTTTCCTATTTTCTTATGGTTTTATAATAAAAATAAACTTTATTCCTTTGTTGTGGTTTCAGTATTAATTTTCTTATTCTTTAAAGACTGTTGATTTAATTTCAAAGTTGTTTTATACCTTACAAGAAATATTCAGTTGCATGTTCTACAATATTTTGGAGAGGATCTTAGTTTTAATGTTTTTCCAGTTCCAGACTTTGAAACCAGTCTTAACATCAAATTGGGTGAATTTTACCATAAAAGAACATTTAATTCAAGTACCTATTTTGGCATTTCTAATCAGAATATGTGAATAAACAAACAGTTTTATATGCATAAAAATGGTACAGTCTATCAAAATGCATCTCTGTACTTAAGTGGGATTTAATTATGACGTTAAAAATTTTAAGGTAAAAATGTCTAGTGTAGTGACTTACCAAAATTAGAAGCATATTCTCCAATGAATCGCTTAGTAAGAAACCTCACTGTAAGAGCTGCAAAGCAAACAATCTAGATTTAAGGCTGTTACATTTTATGAAACAGAAAATTTGGTTATGTGCATGAGGTTTTAGTTCTTAAATAAAAATATTCAAGAATTAATAAAGACTTTAAAATTTTACCAAATTCTGTTCTAAATAGTAGTTCACAATATTTCCATGGTACAAACAAATGATTAGAAAGCTGGAAAGGAAGTGATCTTAAAGCGCTGCACATCTAAATCACTATGCAGTTAATTCATTACCGCAAAAACATAAGACCACTTACCTTTTGTAACAGAAACAGATTTCTCATATTTAAGATGCAAGAAGTTTGACATCTGTTTATTTTCTCTATCAAATTCAGTCTGGCTTCAAAGTACTATATGTAATAGTCACAAGGACACTACCAAGTATTTGCAGTTATTTAAGGATGTAGGGACCTACAAATCCAGGAAATAGAAAAAGAACCTCTGGTATCCGTTCATCATGTCACAGCTCCTGGGTTTGGCCAGTTAAGATGTCATGATTCTTTAGGCTCAAGTGGCCCTATTGGTAGCATCCTACCATTATAATGTGACCAAGACCAAAGTAAAATACAATAAAACAAAAGCATGACTTCCAAAGTTAGAGCACATTATTGCTCAGTTCCAGGACATCCACCAAGCCATGCCCCGCAAAGTTCTTTCATCTCAGTAATGCTATATTTAAAATATAATCCACAAATCTCCAAACATCTCCCTACCCTAGTTTCAGAGCAGATGAGTTCTATCAAGGCCATTGTTTGGCAACTAGTGGGTATGAGGGCAGGTGTGTTGAAGGGAGAAGTAGGTGGGATAGTGATGTAGAAATTTCCTGTTATTCCTATGAATTGTAAACATCAGTAGAATAATATACAAATTAACATTTCAGGTATTTATCTTGCTATACCTGCCTATATATTCTATAGACATAGTTACTTGCCCATAAAAATGGAAACTCCTAATGAAAAACAATGTGCCTATCATCCCACTGAGATGTTATTATAGATGTATTTTCATATATATGAAATATATATAAAATACATGGTTAATGATTAACGTGTCAGTTTCTCACTCTTTCTATACTCTATTATAACATAGAAGACATCACCACTCACCAGATTTGCCCGTTCCTTCACCACCCAAGACAGCAAGTTTCACATCATTCATCTTGCTTTTCTGCTTCTTGGTCAGTACTGTCTTCTGGAACTATGCTGCCCTGTGACAAGCTTTTTTTTAAACTTCCTTTTTATTGCTGCTCTCATTTCTCTAAGAACAACTCCACCCCATATTCCTACCAGCCAACAATAACTTTAAACATGTTTTCCTAAAGTAGTTTTCAACTCAGTTTTTGTATAACATATTTTTAAAAACTAGAGTTACTCTTTAGACCTAAAGGGTTATAAAGAAAATATGTATATATTTATAACAGAACCTTAGCTTACAATTCTCTACTTTTGTGTACCTGGAATCTACCTTCTCCTAGGACCTAAAAAAAAAAAAAGTATAGAGGATGGGTAAATATCTCTGTGAATTTACTTTGATTGTATTGGTTTGTTTTATTAGTATCTGAGCCTATATCTGCTAGGGTTTCTTCTGTGAAAGAAAAAGGTAAATCTGTTCATTCAATCATAAAAACAGCACAACTATCTAGGATTTAGAAGTTTAGGTTTGATTCCAATAAAAATACATATCTAGACCATGTTTGTGAATCATGAGAGATTCTCAAGAAGCAAAACTGGGCACTACAGAGTTTTAACTTATCCAATGTCTTATTTAATAAGTAATTTCTCCTTTAAAAAATGTTTTGTCAATAGACAACAGCAATATTTCTGGAGAAAAATAAAGCAATGTCATTTGTTAGAAAATAAATAAATATAAACCTGTCACATTTCCTTCTGTAGTACATTGAAATTAGAAAAGAGAAGCGATAAAGGAAAGAAAATTTGGAAGGGGTATTCTGGCATGATTCATTCCTGCTTTATAATAAAGAGGTAAATTTAATTTGCAAAATGATGAGTTTTTCCTATTTCTTTTTGTCAGATTTCCCTACTACCCCATTACTTTATTCCTCTTTTATCTCCCAATTTAGATATGTAAAAATTCTACAACAAATACAATAAGCCTACATGTGTGTACTAAATTTTGAGGCCCAAGTGAAAAAGTTTCATTTCTAGACTAAGTTGGTCACAGGAATAATAATTTGCTTTTTCAAAAACGCATTTATTTAACAAACATTTTCTACTTGCAAATATATTTTAAAGCTATGTTAGGTTTAAGCACCCACTATTGTTAAATCATGATTTTTCTGCCTTGATAGAGTCTACACTCTACTAAGAGAAAATAGAAACAATTAAAATTACAGTAAACAGGGTTGTTGCTAAAATAGGACCGGGGAAAGCAGAACATGTGGATATAAAGGTCCTCAAAAAGTAAGTAAATCTTTAAACATAAACAGGAACCATAGAGAGAGGGAGGAAAAAGTGATTAGTGATTAAGCAGATGTGTCTACTCCAAAAGAAGAAACAGACTCCACAAAGGAAAAGGGGGCAAGAGAGAGGGTATGACAATTTGTGGGATCGTCAAGGTAACTGCTGAACCAAATTTCATTTTTTCTTTATTACAAATCTGAAAGAAATAGATATGATCTCTTTAATTTCTGCAACTATATAAATAGTAACAAGAATGACTTTTTTAAAAGGAAATTTGCCAGTCCACTTATTTTACCATGGAATTAGATGTTTTTTCTCTATTTGGAGAAATGCTATTTTTGTCTTAAGAAACTTCTGATGTTTTTAGAGGTTGAGTTCCTTGACTCTTAGGAAGGCAAGATTTAACCTCATAACGTAGAAGATATTGAAAACAACGTATAAGTTTTTGTTATCAAAGTACAGGTATTCTTTTCTCATGTCCTCTTCCTCCCTACTTCCACCTGGATTCCAAAAGAGGTTCTAAAGCAGCCTGGCACTGAAATAGAGTGAAGTTTTAAACCTGAACTGAAAGAATAAAAGCATGTACATATTTTCCTAAGAACCAGAAGAACCATTTTTTTTTTTTCTGCTTCAGATGATGGGTGCTAAATATTAACATTCTAATAGCCACATTATACTACTTAAACTTTTCTTACAGCTCTCTAAAGAAATATTCACATCCAAAGCCAAATCATTTTATTACTTTATGAGGTAGGTCCCATTACTAACTTAAAACATAATACAAATATAGGTCTTTTCAGAAAGAAAGAGAAAAAACTAAGAAAGAGATAAAGAAAAGGAAGGAAGGAGAATGGGGGAGCGAGGGAGAGTAGAATGCAAAGAATATAACTGAAATTGAATGTATGGTTAATTTTTTAATATAAAGAATTCTCTAATGCCTACTGCTGATTATAAAATAAACCTTGAAGTCTGGGTGTTTAGTGTATTACTGAATAGTAACACATTGTACCCAATAGGTAATTTTTCATCCCTCACCCCTCTCCTGCCTTCCACCCTTTGGAGTTTCTGACATCCTCTATTTCACTCTGTATTTCCATATGTGCACATTATTTAGCTCCCACTTATAAGTAAGAACATGCAGTATTTGACTTACTGTTTCTAAATTATTTCACTTAAGATAATGACCTACAGTTACATTCATGTTGCTGCAAAAGACATGATTTCATTCCTTTTTTTGGCTGAGTAGTATTCCATAGTGTGTGTGTGTTTGTGTATATATGTATATATGTATACCATATATATGTGTGTGTATATATATACATATGCACACACATATACCATATATACACACACATATACCATATATATACACACAATGTGTATATATAAAATATAGAAAATTGTGTGTATATATATACATGGTGTGTATATAATATGTGTGTATATGTACATACACACCATATTTTCTTTACCCAGTCATCATAATTAAACTGTAAGTGTTGGTTATATTAGTCTCATGGGAGTACTTATCGAAGTGTTTTTATTTGTAGGTTTATTCACAACAAAATGAAAACTTATACACAAATAGATTATTATAAATCAGAATTATTTGTTTTACCTCTAATTATAATCCAAGTTACTAAAGGAATTCAGCTAGAGATATCACAAATCCTCCAAAATTTCTTCCAGATAAATTCGCATCTGGACATTTACCTAACCAAATGATGAAGCTATTATAATAACGGCTACTAAAATACAAAAGTTCTATTAACCCACAACCCAAGATTATTTTGGCTATAATATCTGTTTCATGAAACTAGTAATTGCTTATTTCAACAATGTCCTAACAGTTCAACATCAGTTTAAACTATACATACAACATCAGATTGCCCATGCAGAGTACTTTTGTATGTGATTATTTTTGATGGATTGTTTTTCATCTGAGCATGTGAAACTGATCATTATGGAACAAACGTACTTCCCACATCGTTTGGTCTGGGAAGACTATTTTTAGGGTCTATCCTATTTGTGGTAATATATTTGGCTTACAGCTTCTTGGAAGTCTTACTTCAAATTTGATAAATCATATCTGAACACTGAACACTCTACTGTGAAAATTGCTACTGATCTGTATTTTCTTTTCTTTTCTCTCTCCTCCCCTCCCCATCACCCTCTTTTCCTTCCTTCCCCTTCCTTCCCCTTCCCTTCTTTCTATCACTATTTCTATCTCTGTGTCTTTACCCCCCGCCCCCCGCCTTTCTTTCTCTCTTATTTTCTCCTTATTTTCTTTCTCTTTTCCTTTGCCCATTTTATTCTGGGTTCTTTTAGGAGCTTTTCTGTATCAATGGTGTTCTAAAATTTCACAATGGTATTCCTTGTTGCAAGCCGCTTTTTTCATTAATTATGCCAGTGTTCACTTCGCCTCTTAAATGTGGAGATTCCTGTTCTTCAGCTCTGGGAAATTTTATTGTATTATCCCCTTAACAATTTATTCAAATCTGCCTTCTGTGTTCTGCCTGTCAGAAACTCTTACATTAGTTGAACCTACAAGATTGATTCCCAATGATTCTAACTCTTTCTCTCCTATTGCCCTACTCTATATCTTTAACTTCACCTTTGTGGGATATATATATATGTATGTGAGATATATATATGTTATACATGTATAACATATACAATATTAAAATATATAAAATACATTAAAATTTATAAAATATACAAATATATAAATACAAGTATTTTATACAAATATATAAAAATACATGTATATATTACATATATACATGTATATGTATCAAGTATATATCACATATATTCATGTATATGTATCAAGTATAATCACTATGTGATATATACTTGTGTTTTTACATGTTTTATGTATATTTATATATTTATATGTGTATAGCTGTATATACTATATAAGTATATGTGTGTGACATATAGTGATATATATTACACATATAATGTATATGTGATATGTATGTATGTATATACTATATATACTATATATGATACATGTCTATACATATGTTATATATGTGATATATGTGTTACATTTATAATATGTATCTAAGGGTGTTTTCTTGTGCATTGCTTTGTATTGAAATACTGTATACATTAATTTTTTCAAGAAAAAGTTAGTAACTTCAGTAAAATTTTAAACTGTACATAATTCCCATCATATTTAAATTCACTTTCACAAACCAGAATTGTTCTGTGTTACAATTCAATATACCACATTTGATTTTTGTGATATAATACATACCTATGTCTGTGTGTAAATTTCAAGTGAACAGGACAGAGATGTTTCTATCATTCCCAAGCAACTTAAAAACTCTCATCATTAATGGAATTAACCTATGGAAGTATGTCTTCATAACTCTAAATACTTTTAGAACATGCTTTGAAAGATAATCTTTCATTTAGGTATCATATTCGAAGAAATATATTTGATATGTATTGTTAGTAACTAACTAAAGTACATGGGCCTATTTTTTGGCAAAAGGAAAATGATGAATACCTCAACAGCTTTAAAGGTTTTCAAAGCATGTTTTTACATCTAAATAATTGAATGGCTTTGCTAATTTTTCTCTATGTGTAATTTATAATTGCAATAATCTTTTTAAGGTAATGATTTAGTATTTATTCTTTTAAATTATTCTTGAGGTGTTTATTGTT